TATACATTGAACTGTACCATCAATTTCAATAACTTGATTTTTTGCTGGTTCATACTCGATGGATGGATGATACATGAAAATCTTGGGAGATGGAGGAGAAGTATGACATGATCAAAGCAACATCTCGTGCCTCCTAATTAATTGCTTTAACAGGAGTCGTCCATGAAAGTTACAAAGAAAATGTAGTGAGCATTGCAGCAGTTCAGATGAACCATTTACAGAACACAGCTTCGGTAGGACAAACTTGATAACTCGAAAGCATATCTTCAAATGCATTCTTCATCTTTTGAGGCAGTACACAGAACGCAAATTATCAAGAATCTCTGCCCACTCTATTGGGGTTGCCTCATTACAGAATACATCATCCCATACCCTGAGAAGATCTGTTCAATCGCAACTCAGACAATATACTGAATTACATCTCTACTGTCTAGTTCAAAGAAAAAGAGCCTTTTTCTTTCTTAAACCAAAGATTCTGCTATTCAAGCTTTATATTGATTAGGTAATAGATCCATGGCACTAAACATTCCAGAGGGATTTGTATGACAAAAAAGGTATAGAAGGTAAACATTCGCATAAACATACCAGCCTTTTCAGTAGATGAAAGACACATGATAAGCATGTCAAATCTTGGAACCTTGCTTAAGTTTTCTAGATACTTAATAGCCAGATCCACTTCTTCCCTGCCAAATGCATAAACCACTAGGGGGTCAAGAATCTTGTTTTGGATCAAAGAGATTGATAATAAGAGTCCCATACAGTAGACACCATAAAAGAACTCTATTTACCTGAAAAAGGAGGCAACACATTTAATGATGTCAACCAACATGGAAGCAGACAAGGCATTTTTAAAGATCTTTGGTAATGCACTAGGAGATGTAACCTAATTATTACAAACAAACAAAAAAAAAATCAGTTGTAGAATGAATGAAAAAACTAAACGCAAGAATAACATTCAAACAGGCATTCATCATAAAAGACCCATAAGATGCCTCATCCTCTAAAAGTACAGCAATATAATACCAACTAATGCAGACCTTCAGAAAATGAGCCTGTAGTGCACGGTCACTAGATAGGGCTCTCCAGGAAACCTCAAACTGATATGCTGTATTTGGGGGACTGATGTTTTTTGCAGCATCAGCCATGGCTCGAGCAGCTGCTCGAGAAGCAAGCTCTTGCACTGAAGCTTTCAGCTCAGGCTTTCTAGTTCTGTCATTTTTCTATAAAAAATCAAACAACGGCACAGTCAACCTCAAGTTATTTTAAGGTAAGAAAGAAAGCAAGCACAACTAAAATGACACATTCTGTTAGTTACAGAAGTAAGTAGTTATAAATAGAACGCAACATCTAATAGAATATAAATGCTAAAGAAATTCACCTTAAAAATGAATAAAACAGTACACTAAATCCTATGATTCTTAAAAGACAGCCTATAGCACTCTTGAACTCAATTAATTTAACGCAATGCAACTTAAATTGCCAACTGAGTAAGAATCCCTTACTAATTCAAAAAAAAAAAAAAACCTAAACCAATACTAACTCAACTTCATACTTCTATGCAAAGATTAATCAAATTTTGATAGGATATTCAACAATGGACCATAAAGTCTTAAGGAAAGTAATATAACAACCATTACCTTAATGCTCTCTAAACCAACATTACCAGAATCTAGTTGAATACCATCTTTCCTGCTTCCAGCTCTCATATTTCTATCTCCTATTTCCTCTGAAGTTACAGATCCCTTCTCAGGTTTCTTCTGCTTGTCATATTCAGAAACCTAACAAAAGAGCCCACACTAAATGACAACACAAAAATTTCCCTACTCTAGACTAGAAAAGTACATTTGAAAAACTTTAAGGCTTCATGACATAAATCAACATTAATTCATCTCTTCATTTGGAAATAATCTAGAGTTATATATTGTTCCGTAAAGGAAAACCAGTCTATGAATTACCGAAGAATGGACAAACATCAACAGATGCTGAGTACTTCATCATCAAAGTAAAGTGCAGTATCTACTAGCAGCCATGAATATAGCTATCCTCTAAAATGAAATGCTATGCCTTAAAGGCTTAAACAAGATAAAAACCAGACAACACCTGCTCCAATGGTTACCATTGTTTACCAGATATAGAAAAAATCAGTTTCAGCAACTCTATTTATGTGCGAGCACAGAGCATACACCAAGCAGGGATCAGTGAAGCTCCAAAACAGTTTCATCCTCAACACATAAACATCCACGATAAAAAAATAACAGCTGTTAAGAGAAAAACAGAAATTCTAACTTCTGATACCTTAGTTTGATACCCTTGAACAGTAGCCACTCCTGTCCTTTGAGTACTGTTTGAGACAGAATGCATCCCAAGTCCATTTTCTTTTGTCTCTGACTTCCCTACTTCTTGAGCCCCTTGCATAGACCTTCTCAAAACTCCAGATGCCTTGTGAAGAATCTCCTGGGATTGATAAAAATGACAATGACTGAATTTGCTTTTAATGCAATAGAAAAACAAACAAATAACAACAAAACAGAAAGCCTTTTAATAAATATCCAATCAATTTCCTCAGAAAACTAAAAGAAAAGGAAAAGAAGGCTGCATGCCTCAGTTTAGTTCTATGATAGAGAATCACATAGCCTAATTTCATTCATGATTCTAAACCAGTTTTATCACCCACAACTTTTCTAGATAATCTGCGCTCCATAAACTTTGAGAAAGTTACATTCGAGAATGCATATAGAACAAAATGGAGTGACAGAAAAGCTTACTTTCTCGTACAAGGATTTAAACTCTGCATGCTGTTTCTTGATTTCTTGATTGTTAGGCTCTAACCTCAAGGCAAACTCAGTATCTGCAATTAACTATGTTCACCATATAAGATCGATCAAATTCATATAGACGCAGTAGGAAAGAATCCACTTACGAATTAATCCAAGATAGAATTTGCACTTAACATACCTTCAATGGATTCTTTAAGTTTCCCAAGTTCTTTTCTTGCTGTTGCTCGGCGTGAGTATGCTTTTATGTACCGATCATCAAGATTTAAGGCCTCTGTACAGTCATCCTCAGCTTCTTGAAATCTAAAGAGAGAAAACAAAATCACATTCATGTTATTTTCCTCATCTAATATATTAGTCATGCAGTAACTCTTATCACAAAATATTTGGCAATTACAAGTAAACTATGAAACTAGGGTAGGCTACCAAATGTTCAAATTATTTTCTTAGATAATATAAATGCAGATCACTTAAAGAGTGTCAAACTTACTTTTTGATCTTAAGATAGGCCATAGCCCTATTTGCATGAGCTACAGCTGTTGGCAACAGGCCTATGCTTCTTGAGTAGCAGTCAATAGCTTCTTTAAACTTTTTTTGCTTAAAATACTCATTTCCCTACAAATTTCAAAATATCATACTCTAGTCAACATCAAATATAATATAACTCAGACATGCTCAGAGGAAAAGGTCATAAAAGTTAAACTTCTCACCAGTTCTTTCTCAGATGCAGCGTCAGGCATATTCTCTTCAGTCGGAAAACTACTTGACAAACTGTTGAATTTATCATAATTCTGCAAATAATCATATTTTCTAGAGCTGGTAGTGGAAGAATCATTCAGGAAGCTTTTTCCTGTTGGCCTTCCTTTCTCATTGGTCTTCTGTGAAAATGAGACCATGTAAGATTTCACATCGAAGTGTCATAGCCGAGGAAATAAAATGAATGAGCATACTGAAGACAGAACTTTTTTTGTCCCTTAACATTAGTATCATCCTCAACCAAATTGTTTTTGAGGGTTGAAAGTTTACCAATTGTTCTTTACCAGAAGCCTGTGATTTCATTTTCTTGTCTTTCTCCTTAAGTGAAAGTTCCCAGTCCTGCAAGTCATTTAAAAAGCCCTGGAAATCCTGGAAAAAAAAAACCCAGTGGAACAACCGAGAGTTGATGGCAAATAAAGTAACCTTTAGTTGTTTACAAAAGAAAAAGAAAAAACAAAGAGAACCCAGATGGTAACTGATAAGACATTTGAGGAATTTTAAAAGCTCCAAAGGTCAAATCTTTAAGCTTGAATATAATCACCACTTTCATCTAAGTAACCTAAAATAGTGCTCAAAAACTAATTTTTCACACTGAATTGACCAAATCAAAGGAAAAAAAGCATCAAAATATCTTCAGAGAGCCAAAAAGTAACATACTTTGAGCAAAAAGTAATTTTCAGAGCTTAAAGACTCAAACTTCCAATGAAGAAGAAAAGACCCGTTAAGAGGAAAAAGGCAGAAATGAAATACCAGAGCTTGATCACGGCTGTGCTTGCTTGCCATAAAGAGAATGGAGGAAGAGTTGGTTTTGGATGATTCTGGAAGAGAGAGGGGTTGCTTTGTTAAGGTTTCTCTGCAGAGAGAATCGACTCGAGTCTGTCAGAAGAGCTTCATTTTGATCTTCGAACTCTTTTATTTGTGGATCTATACGTTTTGTGTTTTTGGGCCTGAAATGAAGCTCAGACCAGTTAGAGCAAAACCCATCCTCTGCTCAGCCTTTCCTCTTTCTCATATACTGTACAATTCTTTATTATTTCGTATTAAAGGGAATACTATGACTTGAAATACAACATTCGATTTTATCTTAATTTTATTATTTGAGGTAAACATAAATATTTTTTTATATATTTATTTATTTATGTCAATATACTAATTCATATATCATTATCATTTATTTTCATACATCGTTATCATTTATTTTATCATAACCGTTTATGAAGTGAAATTCACGTATGATTGGATATAATTCATTCATAATCTAATTAAATAACCCATTGCGAGATACATTTATGTTACATTTCTCTCATTATATCAAAGTTCTAAAATCCATAGCTTGTCGATGATTAGCCTTGTTGGTGATTGGAACGAGTTCAGGATAACCTTGTTAAGGACATTAATGGCAAGTAGAGATAAACATGAAGAAATCCGCTAGAACATGTAAATTCCATTGAGGGATTGCCAGGCAGAAAATTATGAGAACAATTAGCTCAGCTCTCTCAACTATCAGATTCAACACAATGGGTACAATATCATAACATTTTAGTGTACAAAGGAGAGATTGAAGTCATTATTAATGTAACCTCTCTCTATCTCTCCTACACTCCATATATTTGGTATTGAGAGTCATATTTACATCAGATAAATAAACTATCCCATCCACACCTTATGTACAGAACGGAAACCACGGTGCCTGGTTATACAGGCTTATTCAGGCTCATATGAACGAGTGCATTTCACTAACAAGCAGCAAGCGGAGACATCTTTTTATGTATTGCCTTGTAGCATTGAAGACTGCAGAGAGGAAGCTTCGATTTTGAATCTCTGTACTTGTATGGATTTGTACAAGATGGAACAGCACATTTCTCTCGAGGAGGAGGGTAACTGCAGTTCGAATGAAAAATAAGTGGGTCAGGGTATGAGTTTTGGATGTAGAAGAGACAATCATTAAGATTTGTGGAATATTAACCACTGACTAGACAGCTATTGAATGTTGTCCAAGGAAAAACTTGAAATAATTCTCTTCTATCACCAAAAAAGTCTCAGATTTTCACAGAATTTTATTTGAAAAGTTCAGCCACATGTCTAAAACCAAAAGAAGATAGAAGATAATACAAAACTATATACTGTAACTACAAATTTTGACTGTTCAAGATGATAGTGGATGTGTACCTGCAAGGCTTGGGGTCAAATATACTTGGTAAGCCGACCTCATTGGGGAATGTTACAACTGTTCCTGAAGGGCCCATAACCCATCTAACAAAGTCTGATGCAAGTATCATAGAATTTGCAACTTTTTCCTGCATAGAAAATCAAGATACAGAAATAAAAGATATGATTTGATTTTCTTAGATTTGAATAGAAATAAGGGTATTGTGCATGATATTTACCTGTGCCATTTCCTCTTGCCGCTTTTTTATCTTATCTTCTCGTTTCTTCCTACTGGAATCTTGACCCAGAATTTTTCTGATTGCTTCAGCCTAGAAAAATCAAGGAAGGTTAATCCCTACATCCTCTTAACATCAATACAATTTGCACACCTTCCCCCCTAACTTGCTAACATTCCCGAGAATGTAGTCATTATTTGTATCACCTTCTCAAAATTCACCCCAAGCCCTTCAGATATAGGGAAAATTAAAAAGAATGTAAAAAAGGGGCACACCTCAGACTCCCTAGCTGCCTTCTCGACTTGCATCCTGCGTCTTTGAGCAGCCTCAGCTTTCTTCAATTGCTGCTCCACTTCAGAGAGTTTCTCTTTTTGCTCTGTGACCAGATCATTCAAGGATACAAATAAGAGAGGTTTAGAAAATGTTCAACAGAAGTCATGTTTGACAATAACAAAAAAGGAAAAGGCACCAGGAGCAACAATACATACTTTTAGGTGGAGCAGGAGGCAATCCATTTGGGAACTCAATAGAAGAAACACCAAAACTAGAGGGGATATGTTTTCCAGCTTGCAGCGCACGCTGACGCGTGGTAACTGTCATTTCCTTCTTAGAGTCCCCTAGGAAATCAACAATCTCCATTTTAGCTCTCTTTCTCCTATTTTCTGGCTCAACATCTGAAACTGATTCTTCGTCCTCTTCCATATAATCAGTATCTTCAGAGGTTCTTCCTGATCTGGACTTCTTAGCCTCCTTTCCCATTCTTGAGGAACCATAATCTTCAACATCTAAGACATAAAGGCCACCAACATTCCTATTCACTACCTTTGATATCTTCCGCTGTTTTCTTCCTCCATCTTCTCCATGTTCTACATCATAATCAGCAGTTACCCTGGTTGTTTTGACCTTCTCAAGGTATCGAATCTCATCATCAACTTCTGCATCATCAAGCACTCCTTCTAATGAGCGTTTCTTAGGAACTCGCTTACTCTTACGGACTGGTTCATGCTTTTCTGTTTCATTTGTTGTTTCAGCAGGTATCCCACCCCTTGAATAATCTACCTGCCGGACACCTAATCCACCTTTTGGGAAATCCCTCCATGGGAACCCTCGTAGGCTGCTCTCCTTCTCTGAAGTAAGGGAATGGTCATCAGAGTTGTCCTGCACCAAAATACAGATTAGACAAAAGAACCTCAATAAGAATTCTGTTCATTCATAAAAGTCCAGCTTAAATAAGCCACTAAAGCCAGGTTGCCAAGAAAAGTAATTAGGTATGCCACAGAATATCTAGGTCATGCATTCCAGTGTGAGAATTTCAGACAATAGCTAAGTTTCTAGCATCTACATATTTTAAGTTACCGTACACTATCATTGCCATTTTTTTTTTGTTTGCACATACCTGAGAGTCTGAATTTAAGAATGCAGAAAAAGTTTTCATTTCTGAATATTAAACTATCTATATTCAGCTCAAATATATAGATCATCTGTTACAACAATATAATAAAATTGCGGAAAAGCTAATGTGAAAAAAGGTTAGTGACTTGGGAATACTGTATAATAGCTACCTTTTTTTGAAGAAAAAATAATAGCTACCTTAATAATTGATTTCCGCATTGATCGGGGGGCATCTGAAAAGTGAGAGGATTTTGTAAAAGAAGACCCAACACCAGAAGCACCATCAGATGCAGTATTGGCATCAATAGTACGTATAACACCACCAACCTTAAGTTTAACTTTCTTAACTTTCTTCTCATTTCCTTGTCCATCTGAAACGATCCCAAAACTTCCCACCATGCTTGTGCTTTTCCAGTTAGTTGGGGCAAGGACACCTTCACTGCTCCTTTTCGAATCAACTCCACCATGCCTTTGAACATTGATGCCTTGAAAAGAATCATCATTAGAAGCTTCATCAGATTCTCCATATGCTCCATCTTCAACATTCGCCAAATTCTGAACAAATCCAGTTCAACAGTGTTAGTTAGATAAAGCCTTGAGTTGCATAGGTTCAAATAGGCTACTTTCAAATAGAACTATAATGAGAAGTATCATCTCTTGTTATCTTGCTTACATTGTCTGAAGGAGGTGTGGATGACAAGGAAGAAAATTCATGCAACTCTGACTGAGGCTGTGACTCACTCCGAGGGCGACGAGATGTGTTACTCCTTTTCTTCCTTGTAGCATTGCTTACATTACTAAAGCCAAAGCCTCCAAAGCCTTCCATTGTGGCAAAAAATATTGAAGCTTGAGCCTATGGCTGCTGTCAGTGCCCTATCAAAAATTCTTTAAGGAAAAAAAAAAGGGGAAATACTGCCCTCAGTGCATCAGGCACCCTGTTACCAGAATTAGAAAAGAAATCAGTTCAGAATTGGTTTAATTACAATAACAGAACTTTTCCATCATTTTGTGTTAGCCGACTGACACTCTATGAAAATAAAGGGAAGCAAATAATCCTTCAAGCAATCATGTTATAGCAACGAGAACAGAGCAACAGAGAGGAAAATCTAAAGTTTGCAGCTTTATGGTCTTCTATTCTGCACCATTTGAGAGAAATTCGACATCAGAATTTGGCTCTCAGTGGAATATCAGAAAGACAATTCAGTTCCTTTCATAGTTGCAATAATCTTTTTTGCAAAGATTAATAAACAAACTTATATTGGACAAAGGGTGATCTAAACATTAGTACTAAAAATTCCAAACTGATACGAGACTAAACTGTTCATGGCCAAAATTGACTATACATAATAAAATTCAATAAAATCATAACTTTATAAAAAATCCCAGAAGATAAAGCAAACCCAATTACAGAAACCTCGTAAAGACAAGAGAAAGCTAAAAAAAAGAAAAAACTAAAAGATAACGACAAAAGAAGAGAACTTTACCATTGGGAGCAGTGCTGAAATGGCCTTAAACAACACCTTGGATCACCATGTGAAGGAGGAAAGAAGAAAGAAGAGAAAAGCAATCGGTGTCGGCAGTGGTAAATAGATTTGGATGAGGGAGATTTAGCCAGGTGGCAGGTGAGTGGATTGAGAACGTTCTGAGTTAAAAGGTTTGGTCAGAAACTGAGAAGGGTTGCACTGTTTCTGTCTTGTTAAGCTAGCAGGACCATGACCGGTTGCTGACTTGCTGCTTTGTGATAGATATGCCTTTTTTTTTTTCCTTCCAAAAAAAATGGCTATGTAATTAAAAATAAAATATAAATTATGAAAAAAAAAGGGAAAAAAAGACCCGGCTCATAAGTCCTAGTTCTATTACAAATCGGGCCGGGGCCCGTTTTATAAAAGGAGTTTCTTGATGAAAGGGCAAAGGAGCAAACTTCAGGCAATTATTTCTTATAGGGCGTCAGATCCTCAATTTCTTTCTACTTCTTCTTCTTCTGCTTCTGTTGAACCGATCTATACCCTCAAATCAGAATGAATGTAAGTAGTTTCATGAATTATCTTTTAAAGCCAGTTTTTCTTTTGTTAATATAAGACTTCCCACTTCGAAAAGAACTGATTTTTACCCTTTTTTTCTCTTCTTCTTTTTGTTTTGATTTTTTCTTTCTAATGAAGTGTATGGATTCAAAGCAACCTGAAACGGGCTTACTTGGCCCAGAATCTGACTCTCAAAGGACACTGTAAGTTCTTTATCTGATTTCCAGTTGAACTAGGGTTTGTTTTGGGTGTTGGGTATTTGAAAATTTCCCTTTTTTTTTATTCTTTTTTGAATTTTTGGTAGGTACCCATATGTGACTGGAACATCAGTTGTGGCTTTAAAGTATAAAGATGGGATTTTGATGGCCGCTGATATGGGAGGTCAGCTCATACACTTCCATAAGCCCTTTTCTTTTTCTGAATTTTTTTGGGTGTTTTTTAATATGTGTTCGAATTGGTCTTGTTATTGGAAAATAGATTATGATCGACTGAAAGAATTTTGTGGTGTTTTGGAATTGATTGATGAAACAATTAGCTTTAATAAGCCTTGACCCAAAGTGGATTTCTTTTGTTTTCAAATTGTGATATAAATGCGGATTTTCCTTATTCTGTCCATCGATTATTTCTGTATGTAATGTTGTTATAGAATAGATGGTTCAGTTAAAGGATTTGACTATTGCTAAGTAGCTCAAGGATTGCCAGTAAAGGTAATGCCCGAAGCTGAAGAGGTTGTAACTTGTAACACAAAACTTTTATATTGAAAACAGGACCTAGTATTTAAATTAGCATTTGATACGATGCTTGGTTGATAGTATTGCTCAAGTGATCAGTACTGTATCTAGATTTTTCATATTGTATGCTAGAACATGGAGATGGTATGTTTTTGTTTGATTGCAGTGTCATTTGTATAATCAGGACTTCATTTATTAGAATTCCTCTCTGTCAACTCTATTATGCAATGCCAGCAACATAATTCTATTGACAGAGGTGCAAGAACCTTTGTGAAATAATTTGCATAGTTGCTATTCTAAGAGAGAAAGTGATATGGAGTTATTTAAGGCTCTTAGTATTTCTCAACCATCATGCTCTTTCACATTCAAGGCCCTATTCTTCTTTTTATTAAAATGCACTTATAATTACAGGTACATTGTTTTCTTATATTTCATTTGTCACATGCATGCATCTCACCTTTTCATCTTCATTTTTCTTCCTCGTTCCTCTTCACTTGCTTTGATCTGATACTTATGGCCCATCTGAGTAGTTCCTAGTTTCATAATGTAATTGAATACTTTTGGCCCATTTGTGTCCTGTTAATTGACAGGCTCCTATGGGTCCACCTTGCGGTACAAGAGTGTGGAGCGAATGAAGCCTATCGGCAAGCATTCTCTTCTGGGTGCAAGCGGAGAAATTAGTGATTTCCAAGAGATTTTGCGTTATCTTGATGAGCTTATGTAAGTATTGGCTGAGACATAATGAAGTACGTTTTTTTGGTTGCTCGGTCATGAGTGTTCTTATTCCTTTTTTCCCCACATTTTTCATTTGGGTTTTGTTGATAACGCATGTTTTCTTTGTTTAAAACTTCTGACATGCTCTTGGATGTTTGATCATTGTAGCTTATATGACAATATGTGGGATGATGGCAACTCTTTGGGGCCAAAAGAGGTGCACAATTATTTGACTCGAGTCATGTATAACAGGCGTAACAAGTTCAATCCATTGTGGAACTCTCTTGTACTTGGTGGAGTAAAAAATGGGCAGACGTATCTTGGAATGGTAGGCTTGAAGTTATATCTTTGTCCTAATGTTTAGAAATGAGCTACTTGCGGTTTTAAGGTTGTGACTGACCACACTCATAAATATGACTCTTCAGGTCAGTATGATAGGTGTAAACTTTGAGGACAATCATGTTGCTACTGGGTTTGGAAATCACCTTGCACGGCCCATTCTTCGTCAAGAGTGGCACGAGAACTTGAGCTTTGAAGAGGGTGTTAAATTACTGGAGAAATGCATGCGTGTTCTCCTCTATCGTGACAGATCAGCTGTTAACAAGCTCCAGGTTTGGTTTCTTCTCTCGTAACATTTTGACTCCATGTTTTGGATAAAACCTTTTTTAATCCTTGCTATCAGATAGCAATTTCTATAGCAGCACACGTCTGCATGGCATTCTGGGCTTTTGCCATTAGTTAACAATCTGTCTCTTAACGGGATTACTATTCTGATAAGAACCTTGCTGATTGGCATTTGTTAAAACGTGAAGAACCATTCTATGATTGCCTGTTAGATGTTTGTATATGTAACGAAACGCAAAGAGTCAATAGTTCTAACTCGTTTCACTTCCGTGTTAGCAAGGTTGCGATTTAGTGTTCATGTATTTGAAATCTGTTGCTTGCAGATAGCTAAGATCACTGAAGAAGGCGTGACGATTTCTCAGCCATACTCATTGAAGACCCACTGGGAATTCTCTGCTTTCCAGAATCCCACTCAGGGTGCTGTGGGATCATGGTAGGCTGTATCAAACGTTTCCATCCATTTCATGGTCTTGAAAAAGAACATCAAACAACCAAGTAGCAGTTAAAATGGAAATTTGATTTACCACCTTTATATGTTATGGTTGAAACTTTGACTCGTTTGAGTTCTCATTTATCTTTATGTTTATGTACAACAATTAAGTTTGAGGTTAATTATCATAATTTATCTCACAGCGGCAGCTGCTTTTTTCCATCTCTCCCTCTCTTATTTTTATTTTTATTTTAAGCTTGTAGCGGTGTTAAACCATTATCGATGTAAGATTGAATCCGAATCGTTATGCTTAGTTCTTTTTAATTTTCATGCAAATTAAGATAAAAGCTTTGAATTTGACATATTTTAAACTAAAATTTGAATTTTTTTTTAATAATTTGGATGTTTAATACTTTTTAATATATATATATATATATAAAGAGATCTCAAACAATATAATCAAAAATCGGGCCTCAAAAATGTTGAATTGGGCCTCTGAGGCAAGGAATGGGGCTTAGGGTAGTCCATGATTTCTGGACCGTTAGGTGTCCATGAAACATAACCAGGGTGGCCCAAGAAATCAGAAGTTGGGCCATTTGTGGGTCCAAGAAAGGGTACTCCACTATAAAAGTGACACGTGGGGAAGGAACGGGTGAGGGTCATTTCCTACTGAAAAATAACAGTTGAAAATAAACAGTTGAAAAAGACCCCTCCCCGCCACTCTGCAGTCTGCTCTGCTCACAGTAACAAGCAAATTATTTAATAATAAAAACTTTTTCCATTCAACCTATCATCACATCATAATCGAGATCACAGAACGCATCACACGGTTGAAAGCGACACCCCCTTTCACGGACAGTATCGCGCGAGATGCGCGGGTGCTTCCATGAACATGAACTTCCACCCCCCCAACACTCCCCTAAATCTTCTCTGGTATGTTCTGTTCTGTGGGTCCCATGGAAATCCTTCTTATTCTTTCATACCCAATTTTCATATGCCCTTTTAAAATAATTAATAAATTTAACAAGTATCAATAACACTCGAATCCATAAAAACATGAAAGTAATTAATTTAATCGAATTCGGATCTATATATTTCCAAATGAACAAATTTAAACATCTCAAAATTAATGATTAGGGATACAAATACCTTAGCTAGTATCATTTAAGCAGAGAAACAGGCTCTTACATTACCTTTTTAACCATTTTTAGGTAAAAGGCTACATGCCAAAAAGGTTAAAGAAATCTAGTGCTCAAACACAATCACCTCAAATCATAAAAAAAGCCTAAAATACAATGACCATCTTTCAAGAGGGAAAATTTTTTTTAAAAAAAGGGAAAAAATTATATATATCAACATTTACATGATCAAGCAAAGAGGAAGAAAGGGCTATCATTTGATGCCCACAAGCAGGGTTTATATATATATATATATATACTACGAATGTCAGACATGACTAGTTCCAGGTCCTCCTAGTGTAAGAACCACATCTCTAAGATCACTTCTTAGCTTTGGATCTTTTGATGCAGAGGAAGTAGCTCTGGTGACCGAATTCGGTCTGTTTACCTGAGCTGTTCGAGAGCTATGACCGGATTCAGGCACGGTGCGCATTGTTGGTGGCTGGGAGGACTTGTAGGGCTCTGAATTGCTTGAGCTTAGATATGGCTGAGCAGCAGCAACAACCTGGCTTGTTGATGCAGGACTTTGAGCATGCGTTGGCCCTCTCGAGATGAACCCCAGCCCCTAATGTTTGATCAAGTAAACAATATGATAAGGAATACTTGAACCAATAAATTAGGAAGTTCCATGATTGAAAATATAAAGCTTACAGGTGGAAATAAGACCCCTCTGAATATCTTCCCATTAACAGTTGCTGTCATCAGGAAACCTGAGTCGAAGGCCGCATCAACTTTACCACAAACTTCAGCACCAAGCTAAGGATGTAATAACCACAGTGAGAAGCAAGAACAAGTAGAATTAGACCACAAAGAAGAAAACCGCCAAAAAGAACAGTAATGATGATAATGGGATCATTCATATTCAATACCAGACAAAATTTTGATAAACAAACAAGAAAGTTGAGACATTCCATCAAATGCAAAATGTTGTAGCCTTTATTTCCAAAAAATTGATGTTTTACCAGATTGTGAATAGGCCCTGCATCTAAGTATTTCTGTTCCCCAACCAGGTATTGTGTTCCTTGTCTGCCAGGATGAACAACATGAAGATATTGTTCTGGTTTTTGAAGGTTTTGATGTTCTCTTATAAACTGCACATCTTGTTGAGTTTTGTGGACCATACATCTGGTCTCATTATGGTTATTTGGAACATTGTTTGGCTGACAATTGTTTGGAATATGATGGAACTGCTTAAACAGGTTTAGTCCTTGAGACCCCGTGGAATCTGTGGGTTTTTGTGCTGGGGCTTGTTCTTGATCAGATTGTGAAGGAGATGAATGCTGCGAGAGCGAAAGGGAATGTTCTTCTTGCTCTGACTCAACCTCCCATGCCTTTGAATTGGCAGTTCTTCTCCTCTTTGGGTTTGGAGTATCTAAAGAGTAACAAAAAGATGAATTCAATCAAATTTGAAACATCAAGTTCTATCCGAGACAAGGAAATTTGATTGCAAACCAACCTGAATTTAACTGAGAAGAGTGCTTTGCTTCTTGTACTGGTTCATGAGTTCCCTGTCTTGCTACGTCATTATCCCCAAAATAGATAGTTTTCTGCTTCAAAATAAATTAAGCACCTCTTATTCCATAAGGTCATAACAATAAAATGGGGTAGCAATTTTGCAGTTAATCCAGCATATTCATTACCAAGTTATTTGGTGCTACTCTTAGGAATCTTCTCTTTTCTTGGTTCCAATGGCTTCCAAAAGTTTTGCACATGGAAATGTTATAACGACCATTCGGATGCTGTGCTCCAAGTTGTAAAACCAGTAACTCATTGATTGGACGCTCATCCTCCCCACACCTGCATATATTAAGTAAAAGTCCATGAAATTACAAGTCGAACCCAATGTCTCAAGACAAGAGGCAGGGACATAAAGCTATAACGTTGTCAAAGGAACTTACCCTCCATAGATAGCAATATCTGATTCTGTGAAAACAGCAGTATGAGAAAACCGCCCTTGAGGCTGCTGGCCACATATATCTAGCTGAGCCCAAGAACAAGCATTCACATCTAGTACCCAAACATCATTGTAGTAGTGTTTATCTCCCACCCCTCCAATAATTAAAACCTGCAAAATCATAATTTTGTCCAGGTGAAACCCCCCCGGAACGATCCTAATTTTGTAAAATAAAATTTTATCCACTTGAAATCCTAACAAAACTGCTGATAAAAAAGGAATTAGTCTCATTAACAATGCTAACTTAGTATTATGTGCTACCTTTGTTCCAATATTTACAGCAGCATGACCCGCTCTAACGCCTGGTAAAGAGCCTTGAACAGCCAACTGTAAAGAAAATTGGAAATCATAATTCGTCAAGAAAGCAATTTGATTTTCTAAACTGACATTGTGAGACCAGGAAAGTGAAATCAATACCCTTGACCACGTTGAAGTGTCCATGTCAAACACGTCAACATCTCCATGATATCGATCTCCACAGTCTCCACCATACACAACAAGCTTGTTCCCTATTGCAACAGCACTATGACTGTCTCTAGGGACCGGGATATGACCTCTCACCTGAGGAGAAGTCCATCTCATAGTCCTAAGATCCAGAACATACAAATCATTCAAGTAATTTGCTTCACCTTCCCCACTTCCTCCAAAAATCACTACCTTATCCTCACCAATCAACGTGGCAGTATGACTTTCACGAGGAGAAGGTGCAGCACCATTGCAATGAGGTCGAATCCACTCTTTCGATGCAAGGTCCAGAAATATGAAGATCATTCACCTTCTTAGAACCATTAGTGCCCCCGAACACCATCATTTTAGTCCCCACAAGAACAGCACTGTGGCTGTCTCTAGGGCCGGGACCCTGCCCTACGGTTTCCAGAGTGTTCCAAACCATTGTGTTGAGATTTAGCATGAGAACATCACCAAAATGTAGACCTCCGCAACACCCCTGTGACGGGTAAAAACAGGCTGATCAACATGCAGCATTAAAGAGAAATCAAGATTACATTCCTCTCCTCTGAAAGCGTTCCCAGATCTTTTTCTTCCTATGGTTTATCGCCTACTGATACAACTAACCATCAAAGTTTGCATAACTCAACAGCGAAAACAGAATTAAAAGAGTTTAACACTAGTTTTGTCCTGTCAGAACACGAAATTAACATTTGGTTCGAGTTTGACTTTGGACAATATATCAGACCAGAGAGGAGAAACAAAGCCTAATGTTTTCACACTGTTTCAAGAAAGCTAATGTCCTTTTCCTCCCCTGTTACCTTAGCAGTATAGGGAAGGAAAACAGACTTCTAACATAACACAAACTCCTCCAAAAAAGTTGAACAACATGCATCTAACGGCCAATACAATATTGTGAACAAAAAAAGAAACAGATTTTACTCCTCCTTTTTTTCCAGGGAAGACCTCAAATCAAACTTTTCCCAGAAAGTTATGCGGCTTGCTATACATGACTCAAAAAATGACAATTAAGGGTAAATGGAACACGAAGAAGGAAGAACTAAGAAAAAAAGAAAGTGACAGAGACAGAGAATAAGATTGATTTCTTTATAAAAGTAGGAATTTAATAGTCATCCTACTTATAGTCTTACTAATTGGAGAAAGTAAAACCAGGACAAACTTCTGATAACATTCCAACAAGAACCACAAGAGAAGGTAGCAAAGAACATAAAGCCATGAAAGAAAGTTATATGTCCCCTTAACCAAAGATAACCATGAGAGAGAAAGAGAATCAGTACAACCTTAACCAAAGAATAAAATTGAATAAGCAAATAATCCAATAACACTACAAGTGAAAAAAGTAGTTACAGAAAAAAATTCTGCATTGTTTGTTGTACTAGAAAAGATTAACATTTGATGAAAAGGCAGCAAAACACCAATGAAAGAAGTTTTTAACATACCCCAAAAACGTAAACAACCCCATTGGAATAGCAGGCAGAGTGCCCCCATCTCTCAGAAGGATTAAAACCTGAAACTTTTGGATACAGCCACATTGCTTTCTTCTTTGCAGTTTCAGCT